CTCTGATGGGTAGGGAATGGTGCCAGGTGCAATGCCTGTTGCCTGCCTGCCTTCTCCTTGTGATCTGCATCTAGGGCTGCGCTCGTAATTGCTTCACCGGCCGCATAATATGCAAGTGTGTGTTTGGGTGCAAATTTTTGCTTATTTTCTGTGTGAAATGGAAAAAATCCACTTTTCATGTTGAAACAAAATGTACCATTAATCTGAAATTTGATGTTTCATTTTGATATTTTTTCCAATTCTTTTTAAAAAATGCAAATATACTTTAGCAAATAAATTGTGGCAAGGGGGTTAGCAAATGTGGAAACAAAATGATTTTAGTTTTAAAATGAGAAGTTAAAAAATTAAACTTTTTTTGGCCAAAATCAAATTTATCAAATTTGTAAATAATTGGTTTGTCCCTCAAAATTCTATCGAGTTGTCTAATTGCCAGAAAGAACAGGTCTAATTTACTTTACAATATAATTGCAATGCCGTGGAGGAAGGGCTTCTGAAAAATTATAGAAAAGAAAAAGCATGTCTTAGAGCAGATTCTTTTCCATGTTGTTCTCAGGACATTGGCATTTTGATGGGCCGCCTTTTCAGAGATGGAAAGGAACTATTTTCTTCCGTGAATAAAGCCAACACCGTGCTTTCACCGTGCTAAGGAATCTGTTGGTTCATGCTGCCTGTTTCTTAAAATTTTGCAAATGGGAAATCAAGCATTCTGGGAAATCACTATATGCTCTTACTGCATAGATTGGGATAATTTTAAGATAAATAGAAAACACATACCAATAAATATTCTAAGCAATATAATAAATGATGGCATATAAAGGACCCCTAGAAAGTAGCCAAGCAATCTAATTACTTTTTTTTTAATTGAAACTAATTCAGTCTTACTAAATAATTTTCTATTAGTGATAGGTGAAGTCACCTATCTGCAATACAGATGTACATACATCCTGAAGCATTTCTAGTTTTATAGATCTGTTGGCGTGGGGAGCTAAGCAAATCGTCATATTGAAATTTTTAACAAAACCCTGGATTTTGAGTATTTTCACGTACCATTTTAAAAAACAGATGTGAAAGAAATGCCCAGAATGAAGGTTCTGAAAGGTAACTATATCAAACTTGATTGATAGTCTTCTTTCAAAAGCTGCTGCTGATAATCAGAAAACTGTGAAGTAATCGTATCCCATTGAAGTCAATCATGTTAATCTGAAATTATAGGAAAATAACGAAATGATATTTTTACTTGGTCCAAAACAGTGCATATCCTTGCAAGTCTGCTGAATTTATTCCAGAATGGCATAAATATAAATGAAAGATGAATTTGGCCCATCTCCACTTGAATTGTTTTTTGGCTAAATTACAAATAACATTTACGTCAAGAGTATGTGGGTTGCTCACAAACTGTATGTTTAGAGGAACTTATGAAATAGGTTAATAAAATCAATTCTAGAAGCTAAATTTGCTCTGACAATAAAATCAACGACTTGCTCAAAATCAATATTTCTTGATTTACAGAAATACAAAAAATGTACTCTTGAAGTAAGCACATAGAATAACTGCCCATTGCGAATACTACTATAAATGACAAGCTTTCACTTTAAGGCATTCACTTTAATATATGAGTTGATTATGGAAGGGTTTAATCATTTATTCCAATATCAGTTTGACAGAAACACTTTGTATTAATCATTCTGTACTTGTTATTCACTGCCTTCTCATTCTTAAGCACGCAATAGTATTCTGCATTCATAAGGGGGGAAAAAAGGACAGCTGGGATTGAGAATATTATATGTGGTAGCAAATAAACCACCAAGCTCTGACTAATTACTTTGCTCTCATACTTCACTGGGAGGATGTTAATCTGAATTTCAAAGGCAAGGACATTACATTGAGGTATTTATACGGTATGCTGGTGTTCTCAGTACTATATCTGCCTGTACAAAACTTGGATGACTTTTTCTTCTCATTGCAGCGCAATTCAAGTGATTTTAGTGTTCTTCAACTAGTTAATAAGGAGGAAATACAAAGCAAATGGCTCTCCAGATCTTGATTTATGAATACACCTTACACACGCACGCACGCACGCACGCACCACTCACAGTTGGTGCCAAGAGCAAGTGCTGAATTTTCAAGGCAGAACATTTTCTAGGAATAGCAAATAAGGGGCTGTGATAGTCGTTTGAGCTGTGAGTTTAAATACTGACCACGCTAATATACAGCACCTAGTCTTTCAATGCCTAACTGAACAGAGGAGCACCCATTTTGCTTGCTACTTGGCATCTTATAGGACTGGGTCCCATTCTTCATCTATTCAGTAGCAACTTTTTTGCTGTATGTTAAGTGCAGCAATAGTAAACCCACGCTGAGCGTTACACTGCTGCATCTGAGCTGAAGGCCCCATAGATTGAGGTAATTGGTCTTATGGTTGTAATATTTCCTTCTATCAAATTGAAGCTCAGCTGCAGAGAATACAGCGTTACCTACTGCATTGCCTACCTTCCCAATACCACTTGGATAGGAAGAGC